TTCCTTACTATATATATATATATATATATATATATATAAGCCAACTTGCCATTGACATGAGACATTGACATGAGTCAACATGTGGGACAGGGCTGTTTGCAGGTCAAGAGGCATTATTTCCAGCCTCCTAAGTGCTAGTCAGCATTGACATAAATAGGTCTACATTTCCATGGCACTGGGATGAGTAACACAATAATAGACACTAGATGAGTTCTACACAGCTTTCATGTCTCATGTAAGAAGCGACTGGCAGACCCTTGAATTCATGAGGCTCAGATGCTGAAAGTAATTAGGTTGTGGCATTCATGAATCAACTAAGTTCTGACCTTCCAGCATTGTAATGATGCTACTTGACTCTTGGTCTTATTAGAAGAAAATCTGCATTATTTTCTAAGTTCTGACCTTCCAGTGTTGTAATGATGCTACTTGACTCTTGGTCTTATTAGAAGAAAATCTGCATTCTTTGCTTAGTACTTACATTAGAGAACATTAATTTTCATTTTAGTTACTTTGCACCAGATCTTTGCAGATGATCATGTGACTTTTAAGGAAGTTTCTGCGGAAAGTTCTGAAAATGCTCCTTTTCTGGTGCTAGGTACTGGCTGATAAGATTAACCTGCCTTGCAGGCTGATGAAAGGAAGCTATTATACTGGTACCGATGAAGGAGCTGTGAACATGATTAGAATCAATCATGAATGGTGACCTCTTCTTTCTGAAAAGTCTTTAGTGAGATTCATAGTATACAGATATGCTAGCTTCTTTGGGATGGCATCCCATTTATCTATGTATGATGCTTGTCCTTGAGATATGTGTGCTTCAGAACTGATTTTGATTATATTTTGGTTCTCCCCATCCATGAAATCATTATATATATGTTGGGCATGGTTTATTTTGGTCCAATCAAAATCGTAATGTTATTTACTTTTGGGGAATTAGTGCTTATACTAACCATTAGGAACCATGACTAAAGTTAAAACATTAGACATGAATATATTTGAATTTTCTTTTAATTATTTGGTTCTGCAGGGATAGAATTTCATGCACATGATTTGATATAAAGTCCTAGCAACTTCCATCTCTTTGAACATATATTTTGATCAGGGCAGCATTATTTTCTGTAACTTGTGAGCTTCCCGTGATCAGTGTTGTGAGGAAATCTGATGGTGTTTTGGTGCTTTGATGATCATAGTTCTTTGGTACTGAATATTTGGTACGGATGGGGATTAATATTTGGAAGTGCTTGATAATTCTATGACTAGAATCAAGCTAAAGTACATGCTCCTGCAAGGTGTTCTTTTTAAATAATGCATATATTAAAATTGACCTATATGGACAAATTTTGTATATGAAAAAAGGCATATGGTACATTAGGATCAGCCAATGGAGGATTAGTTGATGAAGGTACATTCATGAGCTTTAGGAGGTTCATGCACTCTTTATGCCTATACTCTTCTCTGTCTTTAGCTTTTTGTGACTTTTAGGTTGTCTCTACTTCTATATGTTGCGTATTTGGTTGTTGGATGTATAATTTCTTATTCTAAGAAATACCGGAAAGATGTTATTTTTGATATCTTGGGTTGATAACCCAGGAGAATGGAGAGATCGTCGAATACCAATGAAACTACAAGGAGAAGTTTTATAGGATGACTGTAAGACAAGCCATGATTTATGGAACAAAATGTTGGGTGGTCAAGAAACAACATATCTATAGGATGAGTGTAGTTGAGATAAGGATGTTGAGATGGATAAGTCTCAAGACAAGAAAGGATGCAATTCGAAATGATTACATAAGAGGGAACTTAGGAGTGGCTCTAATAGACGATAAGATGAGGGAAAGTAGACTTAGTGTGCTGGCCATGTGTAGCGTAGGCCTAATACCATTCCAGTTAGGAAGGGCGAATTGGTTCAAGTGAAAGGCTTTAAAAGAACTAGGGGAAGACCTAAAAGGATATGGATGGAAGTGAGAAGAAATACGATGACTTATGGTCTAACTGAAGGTATGACTCTTGATAGAGTAGAACAGTGGGATAAGATTCGTGTGACCGGTCCCAAATAAGATAATGGTGATGATGTAGAACTTCTTATTGTTATTTTTAATATGACGTGGGAACTTGGAAACTGATGGGAGTCTTATGAATTTGCACTAAGAATTTTAGAATCATTAGATTTTACGTCAGATGATCTTATGACTTGCTTAGTGTGTGCGAAGCTTATTGAAACAATCCTTTTTACATATGAAAATAAACTTTCAATTATTTTTCATTTTGTATATGGTTTTTCATATTTTTTTTGACTTCTCTTTTTTAATTATCCCTTTTTATTTGGCCTATTTTCCCTGAATTCTTTGGGTTCATTGAGCCCTTTTTCCTGGACTCGGGCAGGACTCGGCAAGTCCACTGGGGACTAAGCGGGACTTGCAGAGTCCTAGAGCAAGTCCTGATTTTGAAACGTTGTCATCAATACATGGAATTTAGTGACTACCAAATAGAGAGACTGCATTACAGAAACCGTTTCCTGGAACTTAGGAATTTGGATTCCGTAAGTTAGGAATCTCGTTTCATACCTTTTTAAGAGTCTCGATCCCATTATTTGTGGAATTTCGGTCCCAAATTTTTCGAATCTCAATTCCAACATTTATTGAATCTTGATTCCACATCTCTTGATTTCCTGATTCCACATGTGATGAATCTTGATTCATTATGCTTATGAATCTAGAATCTACAACATAAATCGCCTCTGTTCGTAGGAGCAGGGAACTGTGATTCAATCAACATGGAATTTTGGATCTGCAATTCAATCAACATGGAATTTTGCTTCGACCTCCATAAGATACCTGTTTCATGTGAAAATCTCTCTACCCACATGTTGTTTTTTAATTCATGCAAGAATGTATCCATGTGTGTGCTTGATTACTACACTGAAATAATGTACATGTGATAACAATAATAATAGTAAAATAAATAAAATAATAAAAAAACAAATCGAATTACATACTGTCGAATTTCTTGAATGATTACCACTTTTTAAAGGTAATTGGAATAGAAATCTTCATTCGAATCAAACGCTTCTAAGAGTGCTAGGATCACATATCTAATAGTGCTGGATGGACTGCCTTTTCTTTAAAGCCTTGGTTTAAAAAAAGGATTGGTGCGCCGGATCGAGCACCAATAACCCACCCGGATTGGTGAATCGGCGATCCGGATCGGGAATCGGCCGAATCAGTCGGATTAAGCCTTAAAAAAAATAAAAAATAATTAAAACTCATTATAAATGTTGTTATTTAGGAATCCAATAGGAAATGAGGGTACTCCATTAAGAACTTTCATTTTTCTGCATTAATATGCGAAATTGAGATGTTCTTTCCTTGTATGAACTACTGTTAACCATTAAATTTACATCACAAAAAGAGAAGCATGGAATTATAATTAGAAGAAAATAGAAAAAAATATTCTTATATTAAAAGAAACAAGAACATACAGTCATTTGATGTATCAATCAAAATTTAATTATGTATCTAGATTTAGGAAGATACATTTTAGTGCGTCAAAAAAAAATGACGATAAAATTAAAACTTTTAGATGTCATCATCTCTTTTGCCAACAAATTATAAACCTTTTGCCAACAAAGTATAAAACTTTTGCCCCATTCAATACTTTAAGATGTCATCATCTCTTCAAAAGACTTACAATGCCAATAAATCAGAAACACCACAAGCACAAAACCATGAAATGAAGGCAATGAAACATGAATGCAGAAAACTATGAAACTTAATAAAGGCATTACATTTTTAGCATTTATAGTCATTGAAGAAAAGGGAATAGAATGAAATGCTACAATCTCCATAAAAATTCAAGTAATAATATTCCATATTTGATATTTACATCCAATACATCTAGTTAAGAAAAATAGGAAAATTTCATCAAAATTCGAGCAAAATAGTTGCTTAATCATAAAAAATATGACTACAATCCTTTGAATAACACTTTAAAGTTCAAAACCCCTCTGATTTTGATCACAAAAACCACTTATTTCTCCTAAAATTAATCAAATAGCGGATTTTATATAAATTAGGGTTCATCATGAATCAGTCACGATTCCTTCATAAATTGATTAAAAAAAATTTGTTAAATATCAAAAATAACTTAATACAAGAAAAAATCGATTTCTTCAAAAATCAAGCTTGATTTCTTAAAAAATCGAGCTCGATTTCTTTGAACTCATAGACATTGCAAATCGAACTCAGAAACATTGCCTGAGCTCGATTTCGTTAAAAATCGAGGAAAAGAAGAGTTGAATTAGGAAAAATACTTCTACAATCCTCTGTATCACACATTGAAATTTAACAACTCTCTAATTTTGATCAAAATAACTCACTAAATCGGCTCTGAATCACGAAAAGGCGATTTAAATGTCTATTAACATTTTCATTTATGAAAGGATGCAGTTTTTAGGGTAGCAACTCTGTTTATTGAAGTAAAATTGCACTATTATATACCGTTTAGTTTAATTGGATGTTGTAGATTTGATATCTCTTTTAAAACAGAAACAATATAAAAAAGTGATACATATGTTTAAAGGAAAAAGTTAATATAAGGCTGCATTAGGGTTCTTCGTGACACAGTCACGATTTCTTCATAAATTGATGAACAAATATTTGTTAATAACAAAATTAAATTATGCAATCATCTGATGAACATCAAGAACTTCAAAAAGCCTTAGAAATCACGCATTTTGGTGCCCAATTTCAGCAGAAACCTTAAGTTTGGCAGATCGAACTCAGAGACATTGCCCGATCTCGATTTCTTCAAAAATCGAGCAAAAGAAGAGTTGAATCAGAAAAAATACTTCTACAATCCTCTGAATCACACATTGAACTTTAAAAACCCTCTGATTCTGATGAAAATAACTCACTAAGTCGGCTCTAAATCATGAAAAGGTGGATTTTAATTGAAAATTAGGGTTCTTCGTGATACAGTTACGATTTCTTCATAAATTGATGAACAAATACTTGTTAATAACAAAATTAAATTATACAATCACCTGATGAACATTAAGAGCTTCAAATAGTCACAGAAATCACGCATTTTGGTGTTCAATTTCAGGAGAAATCTTAAGTTTGACGGATCGAACTCAGAGACGTTGCCCAAGCTTGATTTCTTCAAAAATCAATCAAAAGAAAAGTTGAATCAGAAAAAATAATTCTACAATCCTCTGAAACACACATTGTACTTTGAAAACCCTTTGATTTTGAGTAAAATAACTCACTAAATTGGCTCTAAATCATGAAAAGGTGAAAATTTCAGAACACCACCATTTTTTTGCAAAACCGTGGATCCAATTCACCATTTTATAACATTTTAATGAATTATTGTGATCAATAATGCTCTGCAAAGCCTGTCATGCTTCAATAATGCATGAAAAAGTGAAAATGACATGTTGTTTTCACTGTTCATGGATGGAATTGGTGAGACTCGCCCCAAAATCGGTCAGACTCGGCATTTCTTGATAGGAATAGGGCGCAAATCCCGTTTTTTCGCAAGATCAGGATCGTGCTCGCCAATTCCCGATCCGGATTGTGCTCGCCGATTTTCGATCCGGATCGTCCGGTTCCGGATCGGATCGGCATTGTTTTGATCTCTGCTTTAATGTATAATTGGTAACTACATCGCATACAATAAATACCATGTCACATTAAAGT